CCTCTTCCCGCCCCCTCCCACCTTCACCTCTGCCCCTTTCTCCTCTTGTCCTCCTCCCTTTCCCAGTCCGTTCTCCATACCACCTGCTTGGTCACCCTGTCGCCCCCTCACTCACCCACTCCCCAACCCCTCAGGCAACGCGCCCTCCACCCCTTGTCCCTTTCCCTCTCATTCTCCCTCCTCCCCTTGCCATTCTTACACATCAACAGTATAAGACTAGATGCAAGTCAAAAATGGTGAGGAGTGGTGTAGCGAGTTTTTCTTCTTCTTCTTTATTTACCTTGGTATTTACCTTGCTTTGTTATTTTAGCAAATGGTGGGCTGGTTTCAGTAGCATCTCACCATAACATTGGCCCTGCATTCTCACCGGTCTCATTGTGTACCAGGTTTTTGGGTCCTCCTCCTGTCCAAACTGACCTGGGTCCTGGTTCTTAGCAGAATTAACCACCCTCTGCCACATCCTTGGAACGGGCTGCATCCCACTCCACAACCTATTTTCTTGTTCCAGATGTTACCAGAGATGTGTGGAGGAAAGAGGGTTCATGGTGCTAGCAAAAGCAATATCCCCCCCCTTCAATTTATGTTTGAATTACAGTAATTCTTATAGAGAAGAGGAAACATGGCCATAAATGTGGCACCCCTGAAGTTCTTCCTTCTGCTTACTTCATAATGTGTACAAAGCTTGTAGCCTTTGCAACCAAGTCAGTTTTACTATGCTGTGTTGCAGTTGTCAAAGTTTATGATACAGTGTATTTTATTCATCAGTAATGTTTTTTTGTGTTTGTTACTTTTTATTATTTTAATCATACTGCACAAGAACTAGAAGAAGAAAAAGAATGCAGTTGACAAACAGCCTTGCCAGACTCCTTCATTTGTAGGACCTTAGTAAGTTAAGGTTCCAATTTTATGCATAATGTGAGCTGATTTCTTCATTAAGAAGGTCCCAAATCAGTGTTTGTTTTTCCTTATGTATCAGAAGGAAGGCTATAGAATCAGAAGCTGTACTTAATAAAGAAGGATCTATAACATTCTATTCAGTTACCAATGACATACTGTACTGTAGTTTCTATGACAGCATTCTCATCACGGGCCAGGATCCTCTGACTTCAGAAGGGCAATTGTTCAGGCAAGGCAAAACCAACTCCAGCTATGTGTGAGCACGCAGTACTGGGATGACTATGTGGATCCCTGTACATCCAGCACCTAATACTGTCCCAATATGTGAACACCAATACCAGGATGATCTGTTCGAATTTGTGACAAGAAATACCAGAATAACCCAGAGGAACCTGAGAATGATGGTGACCCTCAGAAGACCTTCCATTTCATGGTTGTGTTCTTGAAGAAGTCATGAGTGGATGTGAACCAAACATAGCAGTGTGCTTGATAGGAATCTCTCAAGAAGGTCTAGTGACTCTTTGCAGCTATTTGCTTCAGCTCCTTTTTCTGTCCCCCTCTCCCCCAGGGATGGATATTTCCTCTGTAACTTCAGCAGTGAAGGTAAATGAAAAGGTTCATCCAACTTTTCTTCAATCTCATCATTCTTCAGAATTATTTCAATTACATTGTAATTCAATGGTCCCATTGACTTCTTGGCCTGGCTTCCTGAGCCCTGACGTATTTAAAGAAT